GGCAGACTGCAACAAAACCAGACAAAGTGAACATTCTTAAATAAGAGGCTGGTGTGGCTGAAAGTTAACTAATTTGACTGATGACGTTTTGAAAAGTAATTTGGTGCTCATTCATTAGTTATGGACTTGTTGATTTTAATGCTCACTTTATCATACCAGAATGTGAGGAATATAAACCATAACAGGATTAATATAGGATTATCTCTATATATAAAAATATAAATATGAAACTAATTTACATTAAATCCACCATGGAACCAAAGAATTACAGCACTATTAGAAGCATTCTAAAAAAAGCTCAAGGTGAAAAAATTGCGTCTTATGTTTTTAAAATAAATGATACCAAAATTCTTGAGAAATATCTAGATAAGAAAAAATTACATATGAAATTTAAATTACTTTTTTACTTTTAATCAAGGTCATCTCTTATTTTCTTTAACTTCAATTTGAGCAACATGTTGAGTCTGCTGTTTTCTTAAGAACTCAACCTCACTTTCAAGTCTTTGAATTTTATCCAATAATTCTTGCTTTTGTTTATCATGTCAATCCTTTGAAACATCCAAGGCTTCCAAGTGAGAATTAATTTCTTCCTTAGCATTAGTTAGTTGCTGTTTCAAGTCTTTATTTTGCTATTCCAATCTACCAACATAACTCTGTGCCATTATTTCTGTTATTGTTGGAGTTTTGGCTGATTTATTTTTTCTTAAATCACAAACGCAATTTACCCTGTTTTTCATAGCTCACCCACAATCATTACAGTGTGGCAAGGTGCCATTATCAAGATCTTCCTTACATCCAACACAAATATAGGCAATATCATTATAGTCACTAGTTTGGGTATTGTAGGTTACCATTTCATAAGTGGCAATTGAGTTTTTATTACTCTCAAAAGAACAGAAATTACAGTGCCAACTGTCCCCTCTTCCCAACTGATTGATCTGATATTCTAATTTTATATTACTTGCTCTTTTGTAAGATATAAGCATTGAATTTTTCCTTAACTATTTCCTTAGTTTGGTTTACTTTACTTTTTATCTTATCACCCAACAGTTTAAGCTTATTAGTTTTTTTGGTAGAACTGGTAATTCTTGAAGTTGTTTACATGCCATATAGTTCTGTCATGCCATGATTTCTAGTAATTTTATCTTTGCAAAAGCTTTGTCCAAATCATCTTCTTTGGCTTTGATAGTCTCTATAAACAAACTAACTTTGGGTTCCCATCTTTCTAATCTACTTACTTCTAATGCCTTTTCAGCTTCTTCTCGCTCCATTTCCACTTCATCTTTCAATTCTTCTACTCTGAATTCCAATTCCTTTTGTTTAGTTTCTAACTCTTTTTGCTTGGCTTCTAATTCAGCAACCCTTGGTTCTAACTAAGGATGCTTGCCGAAATTCAGGAATTTCGGCAACCTGTCAAGCCGAAATTATTAAATACTATTTCGACAAAT